CCTGTCTGCTCTTTATAAGGTACTAGGGCAACACAGAGGACGCACTTACGAATATTCGTGCTACAGGAAGTCTATTACTATATAAAGTAATACACGGTCCTTAGTAAATGAGGGCTCACATTTGCCTCCGGCCTCCACCATGTCCCTTTGACACAGGAAACAGACTTGGAGCCAGAGACAGTCGCTGACGCTCCACGTTGGGGGGAACCTCCCTTGGGTTCCAGCGTCGACAGGAAAGCAGGGACGTGCGAGGAGAGCAGTCATGACAATGCGGCTCTAACACAGCCCAGCCCTACAGAGATCTACAATGATAACAAATTCTAGGAGAAGAGCCTCCCCAACAAACACCACCCCCTGCGGACCGGGCGCTGCGGGCCGGGCCGGGCGCCACCCAGATGAGAGCAGCTGTGCGGTGGAGAAACCTGGGCTGCTTATGGGGGCACCTGCACTGGTGCCGGGGCACGGGCAGTGCTGGTTCCTTTGGGTTCCCCTCCAAAAGCAGGTCTGAGGGGCTGTTTCTCTATCTCGTACCAGCAGATGCGTGTGTTAAATGGCCGTCCACCCACCCTCCCCAGCCGGATGGTCACCTAGGAAACTCAAATGACTAATTCCAAGTGACGATTGTGGGAGCGGGTTCTCTCAAAGATCCAACACCCTCACGATCACCCAGCTGATATGAAAAAGCCCAGAGGAGACAATTTTTACTCGAAAGATGTGACAACAGCGGTTATAACGGGAACCTTTCAGGAAGAGGAAGGAGGAGGGGACGGTTGCCTAGCAACGAACAGACAGCTTCTCGCCCGTCACAAAGCCGCGGAGCTTTTCTTAGCAGCAGCCTTTTATGTTCTGTGCCAGTGATGTACTCATTACGGTTTTCTGATGAAGTTTTTGGGAAGAACAAAGAATTCCCGCGAGTGGAGTGGGGGTGACCCAGGGCAGCCACATGGACGCGGATCCCATTCTCAGATGGGAGACGCCGGGGTCTAGGACTCATTATTAGAAAATATTTGCAGGAATTCTAAAAGCGTTCATTGGAATCACAGAAACTAAAAGCCAATGCTTTGGTTTCTAATTTCCTAAAACCAACAGGCTACATGCTCAAGAATGGGGCCGGGGGGACAGAAGTGTCACCAATGCTGGAAAAGCTCAAACAAGATTCAAAAATGTATCTTCCCTTCATCAAGCAAACTTGCCAGAGGACATGAAGCTTCCAGGTCTGAGTCTATTTGTCCAGACCTTCCTGTCAGCAGGGAAATAGCAGAAATGCCAGGGGAGAAAAGGGGAAATTAGGATTCAGCTGTCGGCCACGATGACCAAGCGCTGGTTGGCGAACAATCCTCATTCAATTGCTTTTTAAATGAGGAGTTCAAATTAGAAGAGAGTTGTCCTGTCAAAAATTCTTTTCACTTTTCAGGGGGGAATAGCTAGAGATAAGGTTATCAAATATACTTTTCTTTTTTTTTGTCATCTCAACTGCCAGTCATGTGCACTGCCCGCTCACATGCCCACGTGCTCTGGAGGTTTGATGGGTGAGGCGGGGGTGGATGACCGGATGTCACCCTCCAGCTCTCCCGACCTGGCACAATGCAGCTACGGGACCCAGAGAACCCCTCCCAGCAGCTGCCTTTACCATCATCGCCACACGCGTGCCATCTGGAAGTTCTCTGTGGATACCGGCTGTTAGTATTTGGGGTCCACTCACCTGCCCACCTGCCTGCTGACCGAGGTTCCTGTCGGTCACACCCACAGACAGGACACAGAGGTGTGCAGGTGCCTCCTGAAGCACGGTGACCCCGGTGCCTACGTACCACTGCACGGGGTCCCTTGGTTTGACTTGTATTGAGTCTTACTCTTCCAGAGACATGAAGAACAAGAGACTGTGAGGAGCCTTCTCCACAAGACATCCAGAAACGCTGGGAAAATGGCAAGTCAGCCTTTCACAAAAGGAAAATCCTCGGGAATCCAAAATGAAAAGGGAAGTGAAAACCAGAGCGGGAGGCACCTGCAATCACTCAAGTCCTTGAGGGAGGGGCAGGCACGATGACTTCCTGTACCTAAAACCCAGGGTTTTGGAGTTTGCTGTCCACGTGGGGTCTCAGAGGAAGCCCTGACATGTAGGAGGCAGGGGGTCAGATGGGAGACCCCCACCTAAATCTGGACCCTCAGACGACCACAATCGTAGTGAAAGGGCTTGCTCAGGACAGAAGGAAGAATGTCTGTGTCCATATGGACTCAAAATGGGAAGCTGTTTAGACCCTGGGCCTCGTCTAGAATTTAGGCTTAAATTTACAATAGATGAGTAGTCTGGGAATCTCTGGGTGAGGAACTGCATTTATAATGATTGAAGATATGAAAGTGGGAATCAACAATATAAGACAAGAACAGCGCAGGAGGCAGATTTAAAAAACTATAAATAGAACTACAAATGAAAAACATACTCCTTGAAATCATAAATGCGATGAATGGATTACATAGCAGATTAGACACAGTTGAAGAGAAACCATGCTTACTGGAAAACAGATCTGAGGAAATTCCCTGGAATGCAGGACTGAGGGATTAAGATAGAAAGTACGGAAGCGTTAGGAGGCCCGGGAATGAGAATGTCCAATATTCTCCTATAGAGGAGAGAGCTGAGGGCATGGAAGAGGGTCACATTTAAATTATAAATAGTTTGTAATTTTCTGGAATCGATGGAAGATAAGAATTCTCCAATTCAGGAATCACAGGAAGACTGGAGCAAAAATAAAAATAAAGTAAGTCCAGTACAGGGTACGAAGAAATTCTAGAAAAATAAAGGCGCAGAATTCAGGAGACAGTATGGATGGCCCACAAAGGAACAGCCATTGGACCGAAACAGCCTCTCCAACAGCTACAGCACCCAAGGGAAGCAAATAGTATTTTTTAAAGTAACGAGAGAAAAGTAACTACAACTTGACTCTTAGATAACCCACTGTGCATGCATGGCGTTCACTGCCTCGTATTAAAACCAAAACATCAAGAGTGGCCAAGTCACAGCTACCAAAGGAGCCCTGGGCTGCAGGGGACGGCTGCAGGAGGGGCACCCCTCAGAAACGGCACGCCCCCCCCCCAGGGGCAGGGAGCTGGCCAGGAGCTGCAGGTGTCTCTGGGTGGGGGTACCTGCCCTGGGTCCAGCATCTGCGGCCCTCAGCTGAGTGGGGCGTCTCCCTGCAACCCTTCGACCCGAGAGACTCCCGACTGCCCTGCTCCGAGTGCCTGTGGGCCGTCTCCAGGCCCAGCTCCTGGTGAGAACTTGACAGGCCTGGTGCGGAAACTGCACGTGCCTCTCCCGAGGCCCCTCCTGGAGGACAGCTTCTCCCAGAGTGACAGTGACGCAGGCAGGTCAGGCTCTCCCTAGAGGGGGCTGTGCCCAGCAAGAGCAGGACACCTGAGTGGTTTGCCAGCCGATCCTTCAGGTCACGGCCCCCGTCACAGCTTGAGGGTGGGTGGGGAGTGCAGGCCTCAGGGTAGAACTGCCCTAAGCCTGGGGAGTCGGCGGCCCCTTGGCAGTGTTACCCCCATTCAGCCACCACAGTGCTCGGGGGAGACGGAAATGACACCCTTACTGTGGGCCACGGAAAGAAGACCGGCCTCTCGCCTCAAGATCCCAGGAAACACTGATGTGCTTCAAGCACCGGTCCTTGTCAGGGGCTAATTGTGTCCCTAAATTCATACGCTGAAGTCCTGACCCCCAGGACCCCAGAGTGTGACTGTATTTGGAGATGGGTCTGTACAGGTGATTAAAGTAGAATGAGGTCACATGGGGGCCCTGATCCAGTAGGACTGGTGTCCTGATAAGAGGAGGAGGTGAGAACTCAGACTCACAGAGGGACGACCCCGTGAGGACACAGGGAGGGGACGTCCATCTACACGCCCAGGAGAGAGGCGTCGGGAGGAACCAGCCCTGCCCAGGGGACCTGGATCTCGGATGTCCAGCCTCCAGGACTGGGGACAACAAATGTCTGTTAAGTCATCGGGTCTGTGGTGTTATGATGGTGGCCCCAAGCCAAGACAGTCCCTCGAGGTGTCAAGACCCCACAACAGCCAGGCAGTCATGCCGGCCAGGCCACTCTTCTTACTGACATCATTGGGAGGTTATTTTTAGAAACTGAGGCACTCTGCCCGTCCAGACACGAATGTCAGACCCTTCACCCTGCGCCCGGCCGTGGGCCCCGCGACATTCTCCCTGTGGATGAGGTCTCCCCGCTTTAGCTCCATCAAAAGAAAACTGGTTCTGTTTCTTTGCCGCGATCCTTTTGGGCTTAAAAGCCCCGCCCATTTGATCGGGTGGTTTTCATGGGGGAAGAGGCCGAGCGTCACCTAACTGTCAGCAGGGACTACATGACTGCTGGTCAGGGGGTCCCTGGCAGGTGGACAAGACGCGGAGTAGTGGGTCGGAGAGAACGTGTCATCGGCTGAGGCCCAGAGGCACCGAGGTCTCAGGGACCGAGAGGATCGGCCAGAGCAGGGAACTGGGACAGGAAGTCTCGGTGGCTGTGGAGTGGCCGTGTGGATGGGGCTGACCATTGGGGCCCAGGACCCAGGCCCCGGGGTGCTGAGGGTCGGACTCCAGCTGGGGCGTGCTGCTGACAGCATAGACCCCGGGATCCCCTGAACTTGGGTCAAAGCTGGGAAGCTTCCGCGCTCCCAAACAAATCCTTACCCTGTCCTCTCATCACAAAACAGGCTTCGTGACAGTGCCCTCCACTAGGGCCCTGGGGGGTCAAACCCGGCGTGTGGACGAGCTGTGCCCTGTGACCTCACAGGCGTCATTTCCCACAGCTGCCATTCTCAGGCAGGATGGCAGGCACTGTCACACTCGCACTGAGGACTAGGCACAGGGGCCCTGACATGTGGGTTCCCGTCCTGCTTGTCAGCTGCCCGCAGCTCAGGTCTGCTGGCCAAGCCGGTGTCATCGCCACTTACAAGATGTGTGGGGTGGCGCGTGGCACAGGGATTGGCAGAGGGGACGCAGGCCTTACCAGGACCATGTGGCCGGTGGAGATGTCCATGTTGGGGGGAGCAGGCTCCTCGGACCAGGACGAGGTGCTGCTTCGTGCACAAGGGCTGGGTATCGGCCCGTCGCTGACCTGCGAGGACACACTGTTGACGCGGGACACATGCGGGGCCTCCGGGCGGTCAGACGTGCGCACAGCCATGCGCTGCCGGCAGAGCTCCTGGAAGACAGGGGACAGCGGGGTCAGCCACTGGCGCCATGGGCTTGTCCCTTTTCACCCACCTGCTTGTCCTGAGAGCCAATGTACACCCTGTGGCCCGACACACACGCACCAGATATACATACACGCACACAGACTGGAAACGGCCTGGCCCGACTGCGTCCCCACTGGAAACCCTCGGAGCAGGCTGGGCAGGCAGCCCTCCCGTCTCAGAACACAGGCCGTGGCGGGTTTGCCCCGTGGACTGGAATGCGAAAATGCTACCAGTCAGGGTGTTCGGGGAAAAGCCCCTTTTTGGTTCTTCCCTTGTTCCCAACAACAGCTAACTGATAAAAGCCACACAGGGGAGAGGGGAGGGGGCCCTGTGACGAGGGACGGACACGCCTAACGGAGAGGCTGCTTTTCGGAGGTGACGGCCAAACAGTTCCTAGGTTAAGGGGCAGCCTCAGAGTGACCGCGTGACGAAGCCTCAGTCAGGGCAGGGTCCTGGCCGCATCCACAGGCAAGGCCCCGACAGGCCGAGGCGGGGATGATGTGGCTCGCCTGCCTGGCAGTCCCCAGAGTGGAGGCCCATCAGCCGCTGACGGTCACCAACCGCGCCCACCACCTCCCCGAACAGAACCTCAGTTGGAAGCACTCAGCAGTCTGACATGACGAAGTCCATCCTTTGGCCCAGTGACAATACCACTGTGAAACCAGGGCCATCAAAATAAAACAATATCAAGAAAAACCTGCAAGATAATCTGAGCTAAAGAGAGGCGCTCAGCACGCGTTCGTAAGAGGAGAGCACTGGGGGGCCACCCGTTCCCGTGGTCCTTCCTCTTCATCTTGGGGGCTTGGCAGCATCCAGGGGAGGCCACAGCCCCGCCTGCCCCACCTGCGAACCTGTCAAAGGCCTCTCAGCTCCCAGGACGATGGCTACAGACCATGGAACCGACACCTTTTCCTCTTCCCTTCTCGTGGCTGCCGTTTTCCTTGACCTTAAAGATCTCGTAAAGCGAGTGGACACCATGTAGCAAACACCTCCTCTCAGCCCGGCTCTCGTGGGACACACAACACGTGCCCTGGAGCCCCCCCCCTGGGGCCTGGTGACCAGCACTGCTCCTTGGGAGCCCGCCGTGCCGCATCCTGCACCAGCCCTCAGCCCCGTTAGAGCGGCTGGTCACAGCGGGGCTGCTGCGGGCATCCGGGGGCAAAGTGGAAAGGTGGGCCCCAAGTGAAACGGGCGGCTGCGAGGGCAGGAGGTACCCGGTGAAGGGGGGATGGAGGATAAAGCACAATCACACCTGCACTGCCCCCCTCGCTTCCCGTCTGCAGGGCTCAGCGGCTCACAGATGGTTTCAACCAGGAGTTTGTTTAAAAAATGCACCCAAGTTTTCCCAGAGTCTTGAAAACCAAAGGAAGCCCGGACACAACGGATGATTTTAATAAGGTGATGGTACTGCTAGCCAAGCACGTTTCTCATGTAGTCCCCAGTTATGTGCACAGAATGTTTCTCGATGTTGGAGAAAACTCACCAAAAAGATTTCTGCAGCAACTTCTGTCCACCCAAAAACCAACCCGCGTGGCTGAGGCCGAGGCAGCCAGGCCTCGGTCGGGAGTGCTGAGAGCGTGCCCAGGGAAGGGGCCCTCGGGGGGACGGCGGGGATGCTGGAGGCTCGTTCACGGAAAGCAAACCATCAGCTAGCGTGTCAGTCCTGTGACTGTGCCAGGGGAGGAGGACAGGGCGCCTGAGTCTGCTGTCCCCACCAGCCCCGTGAGCAGTGCACGGCCACGGACTGTTCACTGAAAGCGGGCGAATCACTTGAGGTCTAAACCTCAGTGTTTTCACTTAAAATGGAAGGTACAGTCTAGTGACTGGGGAGATGAGAAGAGGTCACATGTGTGAGGAGCGAGGCCACAGGGGACGCGCCAGTCCGTGGGGCAGCAAAGTGTTCACGCCGTGACATCAGAGCGCGTCTCCACAGCAGGACGCACTCCCCAGGGCTGTGTGCATGCAACGGGGTCCCTACAGGAAGGCAGGACTTCAGGGCTGGGACAGCCGACAGATCGTCCCCTCAAACCTCCTCACCTGAGCGACGGGTTACAGATGGCCACAGGCTCGGCCATCGCACTGGGGCTGGACCTGCCCTCACGTCCATGATGCTTCCCCTGCTACTTAGCACTGATTCTCCTCCTAGGTTTTTATTTTTAAAAGTTATATATACATATATATGTGTGTATATATATATATATATATATATATATATATATAACCTTATAAATTATAAATTATAGAGAGAGTCTGTTTTCTTCCCTCACCCAGTGCCTGCTCCTCTGCAGGAAAGACAAAACCGTTAGCTTGTGTGTGAACTCCGAGAACCTTTCCTCAGACGGCAACAGGGCAAGCAGCTCTCGCGGGGCCACGCAGGCTGTGTCCAGGGCGCACGTCTTTGGACAGGGCAGCTCGCCGCAGTACCTGCTCTGGGCCGTTTTATGTGTCTGGACCCTCTCAGGTGTTGAGAAAGTCACGGAGGAAAAAAAGCAAACTAGGCCGCTTGCCTGATGAGACGGAGGCACCACGATGACAGAAAGAGAGCCTGGTCTCACAGGCCACCCCACGGTGGTGGCCATCAGTGTCTCAGGAACAGGAAAGCCACTGGCGGTGAAGACACGTATATGCGGACCGTACTGGAAGTCGCAGGCCAGGCTGCGTCCTGGATCCCGGCTGTGCCTCTCACTTTCTGCGTGGCTTTGGACAGGTGGCCTGACTGTGTGTCCGTCTGGTAATCTGTGAGGCGGGGCTGATGTACAGCAACTGCACGGGGCTGCAGGGGCGAGTGTGCCCCACGCCCCCGACGAGCCTTGTCTGCAGATGGGAGGCAGAAGGTCACAAGGCCGGCTGGAGGGCGTCGGACACGGGGTCAGCATGCGCTCCCAGGATGCCGCGCCCAAAGGCCCAGGTCCACGGAGCAGCCCCTGCTGGACAGCGGCACCAAGGGCCACATCAAACCCAGTCTGACGACCGACCACGGTCTTTGGTAAGGAGAACGCCACCCCACCAGAGTAACGGGGCTTCTACAAAGAGCAGCACATTCACAATCCCCCCAAACTTAATCGCTCGCTCAGTCACAAGATAGCGCATGTGACATCTGTGGCACCCCATTTAGAAATAATCCAACATGTGACGTTTGTGCCACCTCACTGAGAAATATCCAAACACCACACTGTTTGTCAAGAAAGGGAAAACTCGAGTGCCTGCACGAGGTGTGAAAAAACTCCCACCAAGAAAATACAAAATACCGAGCTCTGTGCCACTCGGGCTGCCTCCAGCCGGCACCTGCCAGGCAACACCCATCCCCAACCCCTGCACCAGGGCAGCCCCTCTGAGCAGTCGGCACAGGATTGGCCTAAGCGCAGAGCCCCCCCCACCCCCGCGCCAGGTGAGTCCTCCGGGCACAGGGACACACAGTAAGGATGCAGGGCCACCCAGCACGCTTTACCCGGTCCTCGTTTCCGAGTCGCCTGCGACCCTGCTCCACGCAGAGCCCAGCCCTGTGCCGTCTGCTGCAGAGCACACCCTGCAGAGGAAGTCAGACAGGATTCTAGGGGCAGAAGCCCAAGAAACCCAGCCGGACACATAACAAAGCAAATGTCTCATTGCTCAGACCGTCATCTGATGGGGAAAACTGCAGAGCGCGATCACTGCGAGAGAAAAGACGTGTCAGCCCCAAATTCTGCCGAAAGAAAGGCCAGGACTACGAAGGCTCAAGAGAAACCTCTTTGCACCTTTTAAGGAACAATGGGACAGAGCGGCGCCTGCCCGGTGCGTGCACACAGAGGGCAGGGCTGCAGGGCTGCGGGGGGGCGTGATTAGGGGTGCGGCAGAACCGAGGCACTGTGCACAAAGCCCCCGGAAGGACAAGTGGGCACACGGGGCCGCGGCGGGAGGTCGGGGGCCGTTATGGCCCAGGCTGGGTGAGACCGGGAGGGAAGCGGACTGAGCGGGACCCGGTATCCAGCTCGGGGTCCCCACGGAACCCAGCGACCGGAGCACAGACATGGCCGCCTCCGTCACACGCCAGGGGTGTGTGACCCCAGGGAGGGCTCATCGCAGAGCTGCAAACGTACGCGGTGGGTACAGAAGAAACCACCCAGAAAGGCACAGGGCTCTCTCCTCGGTGCTGGGGACCAGGCGGTGTCTGTTGCTTATTTTGCCCGTCTGTGTTTCCTAAATTGAGCATGTGTTATTTTTGTGGTAAGAACAACCAATACAAGGTATGTTTAAAATCTGCAAAGATCTACATTCAATGTGCTTAAAATTCGGTGAAATGCTTGCAAAGTATGTGGCGGGAAACGCATGGGAGAAAAAAACGCAGGTTGTCACCGAGGCTGGTCACGTCGTGTAAGGAGTCGCACGCGAAGGGAAGAAAGGCTCATAGTCACCTCCCCTCGTTCTCAGCGCTTCACTCAGGCTGTCACTTCATCACAAAGGCAGACTGGCCCAGAGGGGCTGCTCACGGCCCAGCATTCCGGGCAGGCCTGGCTGCGAGCGGGGCGGGGACTCGAGTCGCGGTTTACACACAGTCCTCTCGCAGACGGCCACGCTCAGCCCCGCGTGGGGAAGGGAGCACCCGGGCCTCTCCCATGTCTGGCCTGGGCGTCCTCACAAGACACTGGGGGACACAGGGCCGTGCTTTCTGGGTAAGAAACGGGGCCCCGCTCTCTCTCTTCCCACAGAGGCTGAAGCCACAGCAGATCCGCTGGGCGACTGTGTCCCTGACCTACGAGTGGGCCAGAGCGGAACTGTTCCCTGGATGGGCGCTCCGTTCACAGCCCACCTCACTTTAAATGACTGGTGACACATGGCCGCCAGCACCTGTGCCAAGACACTGCCACACCACCTCCTACGGGCTTCTCTGTGAGGCCCGGATAACGCTTACGTTCAACTAAGGGGCAACACGCACACACATGTACACACACAGGCACATACAAACATGCACATACATGCACACACACGT